TAGACTATATGGGTGGCTAACATAGCTGCGTGTTTGGGGGCATTTTGACGTAGTGTAATGTTTAACAAGCTTGTCTCTCTAAATCAATTACGACTGAGAAGTGAATTCGAATCTCATTGGGTGCTCCACACTTTAGGCCTTGTGCCAGATATAAGCTACTCTCAGAAAATCATTTAGGGCACTTCGAAAAAGTGTAATGGTTAGCAAGCTTGTCTCGCTAGATCAATTACGACCGAGTAGCGAATTCAATCTCATTGCGTGCTCCACACTTTCGGCCTTGTGCCACATCTAATCTACGCTCAGAATATCATTTGGTCATTTCGAAAAAAGTGTAATGGTTAGCAAGCTTGTCTCTCTAGATCAATTGCGACTGAGTAGTGAATTCAATCTCATTGGGTGCTCCACACTTTCGGCCTTGTGCCACATCTAAGCTACGCTTAGAAAATCATTTAGGAAATTCGACGTGGTGTAATGATTATCAAGCTTGTTTCTCTAGATCAATTACGACCGAATAGCGAATTCTAATCTCATTGGGTGCTCCACACTTTCGGCCTTGTGCCACATCTAATCTACGCTCAGAATATCATTTGGTCACTTCGAAAAAAGTGTAATGGTTAGCAAGCTTGTCTCGCTAGATCAATTACGATCGAGTAGCGAATTCAATCTCATTGCGTGCCCCACACTTTCGGCCTTGTGCCACATCTAATCTACGCTCAGAATATCATTTGGCACTTCGAAAAAAGTGTAATGGTTAGCAAGCTTGTCTCTCTAGATCAATTGCGACTGAGTAGTGAATTCAATCTCATTGGGTGATCCACACTTTCGGCCTTGTGCCACATCTAAGCTACGCTTAGAAAATCATTTAGGAAATTCGACGTGGTGTAATGATTATCAAGCTTGTTTCTCTAGATAAATTACGACTGAGTAGCGAATTCAATCTCATTGGGTGCTCCACACTTTCAGCCTCGTGCCACATCTAAGCTACGCTTAGAAAATCAAATGGGCACCTCGACGTGGTTTAATGATTAGCAAGCCTGCCTTGCTAGATCAATTACGACTGACTGGTGAGTTCAATCTTCATAGGGTTTCTTTGGGCCACATCTAAGCTACTCTTAGAAAACCACCACCATAACTATGTGTTTGACACCAATGCTACTGATCAAAGATCAAAGCCCACTAAAAAGAGCTTAACGAATTATGATTTTCTAGGATTAGAGACTTTGCTAACGGAGAACATAGACAATATCCTGCGTGCCATAGACCTTTACGTAGAAACGCGGACGCTTCTCACGATAGAGACTAGACATCATTAGCAGCCAAGGTAGTGTTTATTAACCTTTGTTTCGCCAGTGCCCGTTTTCAGATATTTGAGCTAGAGGCCATAATATTAAAATTGCACTGGTATTTGGAGCAGATTGAAACAACAGCGTTAATGTCACGTGTTTATCTGTGGCGGGAAAATCCAATATATGTCGAATCATCGATCTTACCGGATTATGACATTATGTACCATATAAATATTATAAATGCATCAAAATGTTTAAAATATGCCTCAAACGAGGTCACAAAAATGTTTTCAAAATGTCTATGGAGCGGGTAACAAGGAAGTCTTACTTAATTTTAATAAAACTCCTGAAATTCAACGAGAACATTTTTAGTTACTATATTAGTCAAAACTAGAACTCTTTGGCGAATTTTAAAAAATCAGTTTTCTTTTCTTTTTTTTTTACTTTTTTTTTTATAAAATCGAATCCCGTTTAACCAAAAATCTGCCCTGAATCGTAAAATAAAAAAAGAAATAAAACTAAGATTTTATTTAAGTAGGAAATGTTTTAATTGATTTCATGAATAATATACAGGATGTCTTAAAAAATTTGACATCATTTTAAAAGCAATTATCTTGAAAACTACTAAGTCTAGCTCAATGAAATTGAACAGTTTAAGTGTTGAACATCATAAGTTTATTACGGGACCGATTTTATAAGTGTTCAATATGTGCACCACATTTGACACGGCACACGTCAAGTCGGTAGTTAAGCTCTTGTCAAACACGCTGTAGCATGTCTACGGTAACATAACCCAGTGCGGAAGCGATTCTCTGCTTGAGTTCATCAATGCTAGAAGGAAGAGTGGGGGACATAGACCAGTCCCTTCACATATCCCTATAAAAAGAAATCACACGAGGATAGGTCCGGTAACCGCGGTGGCCATTTCATCAGAAAACTGTCTTCATCTCCACCAAGCCCAATCCATCTCTCTGGTAGATTCTCATTGAGATAACAAAAATAAAACCTTAAATATAAATATATTGATCTGTTTCTATTTTAGAAAAATTGAGGTTATTTCAACATGAATTGCCAAAATTATTGGCCTACGAAATTATGTCAATTTTTTGGGGGGAAACCCTGTATATTAAGGACAATATTATATTAGAAAAACAACATTTTTCGATGAATAATGAATTTTTGCAGTATTTGGTTTTATTTTATTTACAATCTTAATTAGAATAATTTATAAAGTTTTAAAATCTTTTAAATTTCAGTCCCAATGCTGTAACTATTAAGGAATATTGCTTTTAAATAAAACTATATTTACTAATCATAAATCGTAAAGACTATTACAATCTAAGGATGACCAGTATTTTTTTTTTATTCTAATTGTTTTTGTATATATATAAACGTGTCGATTTTTGTAGATACGGGCGTCCACATACGACATTATCAGAAAATAAGCGCGATAACTATAATAAATTTAAAGCAAAAAAAGTATCTAAAATTCAATAAAACATTAGATTACTGAGAATATTTTCTTAAATTTTTAAGATTACTGAGAACTTAAGAATTATGTATAAAAGGCGTTCACTTTATATTCAATCGTAAAATAGCCCCCATATAACAACATTAGGTAAACATCAATCTGTCATCTAACAGTCAAACACGTCAAAAGCTACCGGCGTATTAAAAATGCATTTCTGCGATAATTTGAACGTAAAGTAAACAATATTTTTTTTCAAATCAGGCAAATATTTTTCAAATAAAGTTTCAAAAAATTATATTTTATTTTTGGATGATTTCTTAATAAAGAGAATTACATTGAAATGTCGGAAGGCTAAACTAAAACATTTAAGAACTTTCAAAACGAATAATACTTTCAATCAATTTAAATTAGTTTTGAAATACATTAAAGTATTTTGCTTACTGGAAATATTAAATTTAATCTATTAGCTTGAAATTAAAACTAAAATAAAAACTTCAAGAAAGATTTTTCATTTTTAAAATTTAATTTTAAAACTTAGGTATCGCGAATCTATGGAGGCACCTACATCCCAATCACATTCGGTTCATCGAAACGACCTTATAATCAGTCAATTGTTCATAGTTAACTCTGGGATAAAGACACTAGTACTAAGGCACTTAGTTCGAAGCAAACTCACGAAAGTACTTATTTACATTGTTCGACCTGTTGTCCTCATCTTTATTGCTATACTCACGACGTTTCGGCCGTTGTACGCTCCGGCCTTCTTCAGGATCGCTCTATATTTCTGAGATGAAATCTTGCAACTATTTACGTCGTTTACCTTGTTCGACCTGTTGTCCTCATCTTTATTGCCATACTCACGACGTTTCGACTGTTGTAAATAATTACAATACCTCATCTCAGAAATATAGGGAGACTGACGATAGTAGTACTGGTAAAAAAAAAATTCGAACTATTTAAATTATTTTCTGATCGTCCAATTAATAAAAGTGAACGATTATTAAGATCCCTCCGTTTATTGCTTATTGAAAAAAAAGATCCTCGATTATTAAGATCCAGCCTTTGTGTTAGACACCGAAGAATAACTTCAAATCCTTTCAGTCAAATGTTATTGTTTTGATTCTAAAACATTCAGTCCAGTAGCAATATCTCTGATCAGGAGGTTTTGAGTGGCGTAGAACCACCTCTTAATTGTTCGTGTTACCAGGTCCATCCTGACCCTGGGTGGTAGCACCTGTTAGGGGGTCCAAGCTATGGGCAAATAGTTAACCTCCAAAATGTGGCGAAAACACTATGAAAGTGTAAAAATAGGTTTTAGTGCTAGCAGTATATTTCTGGAAAACATTATTGCCAGTAATTCGTTTTTGGAAAAAAATATTACAAGCAATACATTTTTTTGAAGAAAAAAAGAAACGCTAGATTAGTGGATAGCGGCTTGGATTGAGGAATTAGAGAGCCGAGTTCGAAATCCAGTCATATCCATTACATTTACTTACGTGCTAATATTCTTGGGAAAGGTATGAATCATGTTCGTCTCCCCCCCCCCAGCTATGGTTAAATATCAGGACAGACTGAGTTCTATAGCTTTAGATAGTAACTTGTCTACCGCAGAAAGAAATGGCAACCTACTACGAGAAAAATCTGCCTCCTCTCGAAAGATACATGATCGCCTAAGCATGTATCACTTATGGCACATAACTAACTGACCATCGATAAAAAAAATCTTGCCGGCATTAAATAACCCATTGAGGCGTTGATATGCCGCAAAACAAACCAAACAAAACCAAAACTTTCAGAATTGATTCATCGGCGAATAAGTATTACATTTGTCCGTCTACGGCGTCGTCCTCTCCAAGCGACAAACTTCAGTTGAGAAACCATCTTCAGTTGAACACAGGCACCGTAGGGAGCAGCGCCAGTGATAAAACGGTGATATAAATTGCAGCCTCCGAACGTTGAAAGGCATCTGGCCGAACGCCACGACCGTCGCCTATAAAAGACCCGAGCGCCAACATGGTCGCCGCGGTATCGTCTCCTCTTCACTCCTACGCATTAACTTTCTCTATTTCTTCTTTCATTTCGAAATCGTCGTCGTCAACGTCCGTCCGTCCGTCCAGGTCCGCAAGATTGACCGACGCTTTTGGCAACCGGACACTGTCCATAGGTCAGTCCAGCCCTCAGCTAATCCTCTGCTGGCTATGAAGATTATCGACAATTAGACGCGAGGCCAATTCGCGCCACATTCAATTGACCGTGACCCATTCATTACGAGATGGGTTAAGGAGACAAGAAGTTAAGGAAACCAAGAACAAAAGGCAAAAAGAATTGAATAAGTGTGAAAGAAAGAAAGAAAGAAAGAAATCCCAAGCAAAAAGGAAAAGGCTGAATCTGGCAAGAAAGAAAGAAATCCCAAGCAAAAAGGAAAAGGCTGAATCTGACAAGAAAGAAAGAAAGAAAGAAAGAAAGAAAGAAAGAAATCCCAAGCAAAAAGGAAAAGGCTGAATCTGGCAAGAAAGAAAGAAAGAAAGAAAGAAAGAAATCCCAAGCAAAAAGGAAAAGGCTGAATCTGACAAGAAAGAAAGAAAGAAAGAAATCCCAAGCAAAAAGGAAAAGGCTGAATCTGGCAAGAAAGAAAGAAAGAAAGAAAGAAAGAAAGAAATCCCAAGCAAAAAGGAAAAGGCTGAATCTGGCAAGAAAGAAAGAAAGAAAGAAAGAAATCCCAAGCAAAAAGGAAAAGGCTGAATCTGGCAAGAAAGAAAAAATCCCAAGCAAAAAGAAAAAGGCTGAATCTGGCAAGAAAGAAAGAAAGAAAGAAATTTTAGCTGAAGTAAAGACGAAAGAAAAGGATGGATCTTGACAGAAACAAAAAGGTGAAAGGGTCAAATCTAGAAATAAATAAATAAAAAAGAAAGAAAGAGTGAATGAAATTTAAGCTGAAGCCAAATTGAAAGACTGGAATGATATATGAAAGAAAAAGAAAGAAAGAAATATGAATGAAAGAAAAAGAAATTTCAGCTGAAGCAAAAATGATAGAAAAGGTCGGTTAGAAGGAAGGAAGGAAGGAAGGAAGGAAGGAAGGAAGGAAATTTAATCTGCAGCCAAGTCGAAAGAAAGAGTCGAATCTAGAAAGAAAGAAAGAAAGAAAGAAAGAAAGAAAGAAATTTCAGTTGAAACAAAATTGAAAGAAAAAGCCATGTCTCCAAAGAAAGAAACTAGAGGAAATAAAGACAAGAGAGAGAGAGAAAGAGAGTGTGTGAGAGAGAGAGAGAGAGTAGGAAGAGATGAACCAAGACAAACGATCCTGAAGTAAAGTTTGATCCAAGCGATTTACTATTTACGGGTCGAGCCAAAAAGAGTCAAGAAACAGAGAGACTGACCAAAAGAGGGAGAAAGCTGGTGAAGGGTGGTGGCGTGAAAGTGTGTGTTTGGCTAAGAAGCAGTTTCGTGAATACCATTTAATCAATCGGATGTTATTACCTTCGAAAACACCGCCTATCCAGCTGACATCATTTAAATGATACACACACTTTACTATTGACTGATATCCTCCAGTCATACTAGACGTTACTTATATTTACTAACATTTGCTTAGTAGGGACTCAAAACCAAAGAAGATGGGAGAAAATTGAGCGGGAAGATTGTTTTGCGCCAATCGTCACAGTAGTAAAGGATTTGGGTCCGGGTCTGCTTACCTTTAAAATCAGCTTTTGAATGTTAGTGGTTAACTTTGACTCGAACTATGAATATTGGTGACATTTGGAAAAGCTCAACTAGCACAACGATAAACATAAGCCCTGATTGGTATTTTCTTGGCGTAGTTTTGTCTGGATCAACCCCACAAACGTGTTGTCTCTGCGTGAATATAGAAATCACGACACTAAACCATAGACTGCGAGATTAGCTTTAGTAATGGAGTATTGCTGGTATATCGGCGCTGGGACTTTGCAATCCCCACTTTAAAGCCTTGGCAGATGTCGAGTGAGTAACCATGGTCAAATATAAAATAAGTAACAGAACTATATAACAAAAAGAATTGACAAAGAAAAGAACAGCGGAAAAATAATACAAAGCAGGCAAACAATATATGCAAGGCAAATTAACAGTAATAAGGCAAAGCAAGCAAACAATATATGCAAGGCAAATTAACAGTAATAAGGCAAAGCAAGCAAACAATATATGCAAGGCAAATTAACAGTAATTGGGCAAAGCAAGCAAACAATATATGCAAGGCAAATTAACAGTAATAAGGCAAAGCAAGCAAACAATATGTGCAAGGCAAATTAACAGTAATAAGGCAAAGCAAGCAAATAATATATGCAAGGCAAAGTAACAGTAATAAGGCAAAGCTAGCAAACAATATATGCAAGGCAAATTAACAGTAATAAGGCAAAGCAAGCAAACAATATATGCAAGGCAAATTAACAGTAATAAGGCAAAGCAACAGTAACATAGCAAAAAGTTCACAAACCAAAAATTGGGATTATTTACATTATTTACATTGTTCTGACTCCGGTCCTCATTTTTATTGCCATATTCACGACGTTTCGGCCGTTGTACTATCCGGCCTTCCTCAGGATCGCTCTATATTTCTGAGATGAGGTGTAACTATTTACGTCGTTTACATTGTTCGGTCTGTTTTCCTTATCTTTATTCACAACGTTTCGGCGGTTGTAAATGGTTGCAATACCACATTACTGATAAAAAAATATCCGAACTCTTTAAATTATTTCCTGATTGTCCAATTAATAAAACTGGACGATTATTAAGATCCACCCGTTTATTGCTAATTGAGAAAAAAAAATTCCCGATTATTAAGATCCGGCCATTGTATTAGACACCTAAGAATAACTTCATGCCGAATTCTTTCAGTTAAATTTTCTCGTTTTAAACATTCAGTCCGGCAGCAAGGCCTCTGATCAGGTGGTTTTGAGGAGCGTGGAACCACCTCTTAATTGTTGGTGTTTCCAGGTCCACCCTGACCCTGGGTGGTAGCACCTGTTAGGGTCCCAGCTATGGGCAAATAGTTAACCTCCAAAATGGGGTAAAAGCACTATGAAAGTGTAAAAATAGGTCTTAATACCAGAAATACATTTTGGAAAAAAATTATGACCAGCAATGCATTTTTTGAAGGAAAAAGAAATGGTAGCGTAGTCGATAGCTGCTCGGATTGAGGAATCGGAGAGCTGAGTTCGAATTCCAATCAGATCCATTACGTTCACTTACGTGTTAATAGCCTTGGGAAAGGTATGAATACTCTTCTTCTCCCCCCAGCTGTGATTAAATAGCAGGACATGCCGGGTTCTATAGCCTTAGATGGCAACTGGTCAACAACAGAAACGCTCCGGTCTTCTTCAGGTGATTGGAATTTCGAAATGAACCCTTTTAATTCGTCCAAAAAGACACGTGGCCCAGTGGATAAAAAGCGTTTGTTGGGTTAAGTGACTTGACCCATCGTGTTGTTAGTTCAACACCTGGCTACTGCAGTGCTGAACAAAAATTGAAGAGTTGATTTAAAGGGAAGTAACCGAGACATCCGTAAGAGTTATCGAACGTGGAACTAGAACAATCTACCCCGGTGAGCGAAATAATGGGTTCAGTTCGAAATTCCAAACAACTGAAGAAGTCCGGAGCGTACAACGGCCGAAACGTTGTGAATATGGCAATGAAGATGAAGACAACAGCCCAAACAGTGTAAATAATGTAAATAAATACAATACCTCATCACTGAAATATAGAGAGAACCTAAAGAAGGCCGGAGCTTACAACGGCCGAAACGTCGTGACTATGGCAATAAAGATGAAGACAACAGCCCGAACAGTGTAAATAATGTAAATAAATACAATACCTCATCTCAGAAATATAGACTGATATCCAAGAATTAAGGTTGACACACAAGAGTAAGTTCGAACAAGCGAGCACTGCGTTCTGACTTCACAACTAGACAGATCGGGGCTGACCCCGATGAAAACACGGACAGACCTATTTTATTGGCCAGCATGTATTTGTGTGCTTCTGCCTATAGAATGGGGAGAGGGAAATGTTTTGCTGTCATTCCTAGCTATTGAAACCAACAACAGATTTTAATAACTTTCACGTAGCCTTGTGGGTGATTACTAATTTTCAACTATAGACGAAAAGTAGCAAACTTCGTGCTACTTTTTTGTTACTTGCATGGAAAATGTTCAGACGAGCCATATTCCTTAGTTCCACCTTTACAGCTATAACATTTCACCCTCTCTTTTTGTTTCGCCTATCTGTTGTTCCCTGTCCCAGCGCTACCAACAAATGTAGGATTCTTGGCGCCGTCACTTGAAGGTGTTTTTTGGTCGTCACGACCTTCTTATGTTGACATCAGCAAGCTTTGAGGCTACCATATTTCTGAGGGGTGTTCGACTAGTGGTCGTTGTGATTCTGCGGAGAATTCAGGTTTGAAATTCTTGCAACCGTGCTAACTTCTTTGTCTCTGCGGAAAACCAATTTCGCAACACCAACCACTAACAACGGGTTTAATGAAAATAATCTAAAGAATTTAAGAGTACATCGAGATTTTTTTTTTTTAATTATTAAACTTTCTATGTGGCCTAGTTAATTATATATCGACAGGAAAATTATTCTAGCAGTAATTCGTAATAATTTGAGAGCCCTCGGTCTTAGCATTGTCTACTTTATCTGAGAATTCGTTGGCAGCAGAAGCAAAAGCAATCGCAGCAGGAAGAGGGGGATTTATAGAGATTTTTCCATCTGGTCTGTACCGTCTTATTCTCGCTGGGTTTTTTTTTTATCAAAATTTGAGCCTCTCTGGCATTGATAAGATATCCATGACCATTCTTGGCCTGATAATAGTTGGTTCTCCTTAAGCAACGTCGACCCTGGTCAGTACTTAGATGGTGACCGCTTGGGAATATCAAGTGCTGCAAGTTGGATGTGCGGATGGTGCAACGAATAATGGCTCGGAATTGTTAGTCGGAGAGCCGAGTTCCAAGGTTCGTTATATTCACTTACGCACAAGTACCGTTGGGAAAATATATGAATCCACCTGTTCTTCCCCCAGCTATGGGTTAATTAGTAAGACTATTTTGTGGTCTCAGCGAACACCCGTTGCCACTTTTATAATGTCAACGAATACTGGTTATCACTTTCGTAATGCTCGTTGTAGTAGAGACTTTGTAATCGCAGATACAACTATAGTAACGCTGTTGAACAATACTGGTGTCAGACGCCTTCGAATATCACTCGCACTAATTGTACTTGCTCGATTATACTCGCTCGAATAGTAACCACCGAATAGTAATCCATATAGAGAAATAGAATAGTGAAGAGAGTAGAGAATAGCGGTTCATATAGTAATAGAGGATAGAATAGAAGTAACGATCAATTAGACGTCACGTGATTTCCTACTTATGCGTTTCCTCTATGGTCACGTGGTCTATTTGATTTAATAATGGGATCGCCTGTGTTTGCTCACTGGCGATCTATGTTCAAATTCAAGTGTCGGCAGCGACACTTTATTCCTATTTAACAACAAGGTTGATTGATGGACATTTGAAAGCAATTCTCATGGTTAGATGAAACAATTCCAAAGCAAATATTGAAAAGTAAATCACAACCTTATCAGAAGAGTAATTATGAGTCTGCTACAGTCATCATGTTTTAATTTGCTTTGCCGTATATAAAAAGGACCGACTTCAGCAAATTATGTCATATATTTTGCCTGAACTCATAAAATGTAAAGTCATCATATGTAACGAGCTTGACTGATGAACATTTGAAAACAATTCTCTTGGTTGGATGCTGCAATACGAAAACAAATATTATATCTTAAAAGGTAAACGCCAATTTTACAAATCTTACTAACCTTTTGTGCTGCTTAGTTTGTGAGATTCGGATATGTACTCATTGCGTGTGATATAACTATTTTATTGCTAATGTCGCCTTCTTTGATAACATTTGGTAAATAAATATGTTTCGATATACCTAGCGCTTTTTGTGTAAGTACCAGCAATGAAGTTTCTAAGAAAATCGATTACGAGCTTGATTCAGCGATTGTTTTAACTTGCACTGCCGTGTTTAAACCGGTTTGAAAAAGTGCCATATATATATATATATATATATATATATATATATATATATATATATATATATATATATAAAAAGGACATGAACATTTATTCTTCAAAATAAGGTCCATCATTCATCATTCTCGAACAGGGCTCACCAAACTAACCCCCTCGCGGGCCGGATCTACATTTTGTGTAAGTACCTGCAATGAGGTTTCTAAGAAAAGCGATTGAAGTTGAAGAAATTTGTCTCTGGTATGTCTTCAGTGTTTGGAATAATTTATGTCCTTAAGCAAACATTTTCAAAAATGAAATATGTAAAGTCAGTACATTGAACAAGGTCGACTGATGAATATTTGAAAGCAATTCTCTTGGTTGGATGCAGCAATATCAAAACA